AAATAAATAAATTTTATAATTCAAAATAATCATATTAATTAATAATTGTTTTTCTTAAATGGCAATTTGCTTTATATAATTTCAAAGGAGGATTAAGTGACAATTTAGTAGAGAAAATAAATTACACTTGCCATTAGTATGAATGTACTTAAAAATGTATTGTTTTATTCTTACATATACATTTATAGATAGTTAGCTAAACAATTTTGATTGTCGATTATAATTTGAAAAATTAAAAAATTAAGGATATATAATGTTTATTCAGATTTAAAACATATAAATACATAACTTAAGCTAATAAAAATAAAATATAATACTCATTTACATTATAAAAATAATTTTATTATATTAAAAATATATATAAAATCTAAAAAATGAATAGGAAAATGAATAATTTTACGAATAATTGTGTAATTTTATTTTTTTTGTCAAACCCAAGCCCAGATAGGAAAATGAAGTTTTTGGGTTTTGACGGAAAATACAATTTCTTGGTTTTTATAAGAAAATAAAATTTCTCTGTGCTAAATTTCCAAATTAAAGTATGTTTACAATAACCAAAATTTAATTATTTAACTTCAACTAAAACGATATTTTAACAGTTCAAACAGAATTTTCTATTTTGTTCTAAAGCAATAACAGTGGTTTGATATGAATGTTATTGATTACATTTTGGTAGTTTTAGAAACATATATTTATAATAACTATTTGATAAATAAATAAATTTTATAATTCAAGATAATCATATTAATTAATAAATGTTTTTTTAAATAACATTTTCCTTTATATAATTACAAAAGAGGATCAATTGGCAATCTATTGGAGAAAATAGATTACATTTGCCATTGGCATGAAGGTACTAAAATGTATTGTTTTATTCTTATATATGCATTTATAATTAGTTAGCTAAACAAATTTTAATAGCAAATTATAATTTTGAAAAATAAAAATAAAAATAAAATATACAATATTTATTCTGATTTAAAACATATAAATACAAACTAATAAAAAATAAATATAATACTCATTTACATTATAAAAATAATTTTATTATATTGAAAATATATATAAAATTTAGAAAACTATTCCGCAGCGTAGCACGGATAAATACCTAATATTTTACAATATATACAACATTGCCCTTTTCAAAAATTCTTTCATTATCTCATGTCTTCCTTCCTCTCCGTCTTTTTTCTCTTTTCCTCCTCTTATTCTCCCCTTCTTTCCCCTCCACTCTGTCTCCTCTTCTCCTCTCCTCTCCTTTTCTTCCCCTCCTCCCTTCTCCCTTTTTTTTATCAATTACTTTCGCAAATACTATAATAAATGAAATTATTCTATAAAAATGAGATATAATATAATAGCTATTATAATATGATATAAGAATATTTTCGTTAATTGATGGTGGATCATAGTTAGTTTGTAAATTATCCATACATTATGGTTATATTCTTTATTTCAACCCTCAATATAGTTATGTATGCAAAAAAACCCAAAAATTGTTGACAAACAGACGACAAAACAAAAATTGACAAACAAACAAAACTGGACAGTCCTTTCTAAAACAAAAAAAAAATTGAACTAAATTGTAAAAATTTCAAATTTAACACGTGTGAAATAATTAAATTTATTATCACTTATAAATGCAAATAGCTTGATGGATAATCAGGGACAAAGTATTGGATTTAAGAAGGTAATTTTCATAAAAGATTGTCTAAAACCTTGGTTGGAAGATATTGCAATTTGGTTACAAAAGTGGGACACATCCGACGTGAACAGAACAAGGTTTGAATTGGACCAACTCGTTTTTGTTCGACCCGAACTGGTAAGCCCCGAGTAAATAAGTTTAATTTGCTGATGTTAAAAGCATATTTTCAACTTAAAATACCTAAAACGTCAAATAAATTAGGGAACAAGGACTTCACAAGCGTTAGAGCACCTTGGCATCGCAACGACTTGTTTGAGGAAAGCACTCATTGCCATTTTCATATAGTAAGTATTAAGCTTTAGTTTCTCAAGGATTGTTGAATTCTTCAGCAAGTATCTTACTAGCTCTGTTGCTGCTTCATACTTTGAGATCAAACGTTTCAGTTCCACATACTCAAACTGTCACACCGATTCACTCCTCACCCATTTTCCATAAACAACGGGTATGTGAACCATTTTATGTAAAAAAATAATATATATATATAAACCACATTAGAAATCAAAATTGAATAAGTAGACTTGTCTGAAAGTCTGATGAAAGTCTACTTAGTAGATTTCTCGAGTAGACTTCGCGAGTAGACTTCTTGAAGAAGTCTACTCTTACTAAGCTAAGTATCATATAAAACATAAAAACTGACTGGACTATACCTATAAAATATAAACATGTAAAACTTATGCATAAGCAAGACCACTTACTCAAAGAAGCTTAGGATCATGAAAATCTTAAAAATTCGTTATATATTATATAAAAATGATTCTTTTTAAAAAAATAAGAAAAGTATACTTCTCGGAGAAAAGTAGACTTCTTGCGGGTTAGTTTTGCAATTGCCAAAAGATTAGTAAACTTCTTCAAGAAAAGTAGACTTCTCTGAGATGTCTACTTTTGGAAGTAGACTTCTCGCAGGTCATTTTTGCAATTGACCAAAAATTCAAATATTTTTCAATTGCAAAAATGACTTGCGAGAAGTCTACTTCCGAAAGTAAACTTCTCGGAGAAGTCTACTTTTCATGGAGAAGTCTACTCTACAAAGTCAAAGGTTGGTCAATTGCAAAAATGACCTGCTTCTAAAGAAGTATACTCGAGAAGTCTACTTTATTTTTTTTATTATCAAAGGAAATGGAGTAGGCTTCATTCGGACCAAAAGAAGTCTACTTTTTCATGCGGTCAATTGCAAAACTAAACTGGGCGTTGACTAGTAGACTTCATTCGGACCAAGAGAAGTCTACTTTTGAAGCTCAGAACTGAAAACACTGAAATTGACTGAAAATCCGACTTACCACTCGTCCTCAACTTCTTTTCTGATCAAGATCTTCGATTGTAACCACCATGAAAGAAACACAACCGTAAAAAACAACCAACTCGCCGGAATATAGAAATATATATGAACTTCAACTTTCTAATAGTCAAATTATCGAGTTTTTGGGAAGAAAATAGAGAGAAAATAGAAGAATAAAAGCTTAAGAGAAAGATAATGAGCTAAACAAACTCAAAATGGGTTTTTTTGTGTCATTAAAGCTCGAAATTGGTTGAAAATGGTGGTTGGGTGAATTGATGATGATGGCATTTTCATAAATAAGTGAAGAAAATGAGGATTAGTTGGTCATTTAGATTTTCATAAATTAAAGAAATTAATTAAAAATAATGGCAATTTCGTGAATAACTGAAACTATGAAGGATTGTTTGGACACAAAATGGCAAATGTTGGGAAGATGATTTTTGTGGGTTAGATTTACATTTTAAATCAAATTTTAGGTCATTTTTGCAAGAATTTCTAAAAAATATGCATTACATCCACTGTTTTTTTTATAGAAACTGTGTGATACTCTATGTATGTGGAATATCCAAATTTGTACAATTATATTTGTAATATTATGTGTCTACTAATTAATGGCTCGAATTGACTAAACATTTGAACTTTATTATAAGAGCACATAGCTGCCATTGCCATGAAAGCAAAATAAATAAATCCAATGATATTCATATCACCTGACATTTTAGTAACCAACCATGAAAGTAAGAAACTAGTACGCATATTCACTTTAGCTTTAACTGATGACCATATAAGTAACAATAGGAATGAATAGGAAAAGGAATAAAAGGAACAAGATAATAGGAATTATTGTTCCTTCTTATTTTTTATAAGGAATATATTAACATTATAGTTCCCTAAAACATAAGGAATGAGAAGGAATCATGGGTACAATATATTCCTTTTAAATGGTGTAATTTTTAAGGAATGATAAGGAATTTAGTATTCCATTCCATTCCTTATGGTCACCAGTTACAGCCTTTGTCTTTATACAAAACTTCACTATGTTCTCTCTACTTAACGCAACCAAAGGACGAAAACTTCACATTTGGTAGAACCTCTTCGGATTTTGATGAGTTTCTTGAGTGAGTTTTTTTTTAGGATTGCAGAATTCTCTAGAAATTACTTTACTAGCTTCATTTCTACAGTAAGTCTTCAGATTGTGACTCTGAAATTAACAAACTCTAGAGACGATAGCAATAGCAAATACTGGCACAGATGAAAAACGAATGATTTGATTCAATTTCTTATCATTACCACGCAATAAAAAGAGACAACATGGAATCTTTATAGACATGAAAGCAGATCATTTTCATATAGAATTCAGAAACCAAACTGCAAAATAACATAAAGTTAATTAATATCATTATCACCTTCGTATAGTACTCTACACATTCACTTTGTTTTTACAAACAAAAATTATCACAGTTATTTTTCTCTTTTTAGCAACACAAGAATCTTGAAAAGTATCATCTCACGCTCCAAAAGACAAAAACGATAACAAAAAATAGCTTCATTTTTGCAGCATGTCACGAATTTGGTATTTGATGAATAATAAACTCAGGCACAGATGAAGAAAAAAAAAATTAAAATTCCATTCATTCCCTCGGAATGTAGATTAATGGTTGCAAGATATTGCCTTTTGGTGACGTATGAAAAGGCAGCAACAATCGATTTTATCTCAATTTCAATTCATGAAAATATGATGTTTTCAACACACAAGAAAATAGAAAAAACAACAGAATAAAGCAGGCAGGCACAAAAGAAATATCATTAGCTTTTAACTATTTTATAAACAAATCTTCCTTTTTGATTTCTTCACAAGCCAAAAACAGGACAGATCAGCAAACCTTAACAGTGTAGAGATGGAGGAGTGACAAACCGATTCTAAGCAACGGAAAAGATTTATTGCAAACGTGGCTTATGACAGTTTCTTGTGTGGCAAAGAGCTTCACATCTTCTCTCTCCCTCTAGTACACTATTTACCAATCAAAGTACGACAACTTCACACGTGGGAGATCGTTTCGGAATTGCCAGGAGGATCTTGAAGAAGAACTTTTCATTTGCAGAATAATAATTAAAACGTAGAGTGATTTTATTGAGGATTTCTGAATTCCCTAGAAAGTACTCCACTACCTTCATTTCTGGAGCATGTCCCGAGATGCAGGTTTTGATATCAACAAACTCAAGCGACGATAACAAACACTCTGGCACAGGTGAAAAATGGATTACAGGGTCATGCAGATCATCATTGGAATGCATCTTCGTAGAGTTACCTTTCCATACCTGAATGGGAAAAAGAGAGAGGAGATAAACACAATGAAACGATAGGCAAAGCTTATCACAGAGATGAGAAATAGGGTTTAAGCAGATGAGAACTAGGGTTTAAGCAGATCATTACCAAGATGAGGGATTTCAATTTTGGGCAGCTCTCAAGAAAGGTTGGTAACGATTTCAAATCAGATACACGAAGAGTAACACGCAGGCGGGACATGTAACCAAATTGAGGCAACGGTACAAATCTTGAGTATTAACAGATGAGCTGGAACCAGAAAAAGAAACATAACGTGGGTTAGAAGCTTTCTTGTAATAATAATGTACATGTTCCAATACAAGAACTGGCATATGTATATACCTTGAAAGTGCATCTACATATTGTCATATCTCTGACCTTCGAGATCCCGAAGAGGAAACCGCGGATAGGAATTCCCCTGGATGTAACGCTTGCTTCCACAAAATCATCCAAACCAAAGACGCGAGAGAGATCTACCTTGGCAATGGAATCCAAATTGCTAATTATAAAGTTCTATTATAAGCTATCTTTGATGCTCAAACAGCTTAGTAGAGGAGCATCAATTACAAATCCTAAACCAAGGGTCTCTAAATCTTCTTCTAGCTTTATTCTGAGCTTCTTCAATGACTTAGAGAGCACCTGATAGACTTGTGCAGTATGCGACATATACTTATATGCGAAAATCTTCAACTCTTCCAAGACAGGACAGCAAGAGACTAGCCTCTCGAAAGTGGCCTCAAGATTGGTCTCATTGCCATAAGGAATATATTTTAGATGCATCGTCTTCACACAAGGTAAAGAAACAACCTTGACATCAACTAAGGTCACTTTTACCTCACGGAGTTTCAAGGATACTAGTGTCTTGCAGTTAAAAAGCCTTGAGGGCATCTCATAATCAATAGAAGGAGTACAACGAACAAGTAGATGTTGGATCTTCCGCCTAACTGCAGTATCAATCCACGACACGAGATCAGCTTCATCTTCATGAATATCTAACTTGACTTTGTATATGCAAGAAACCCTACTGGAATCGAAAAACCTGTCACCAAAACTCATAAAGTCATTGAAATCTGAGAACTTTAGGGAGCTCAGTTCCAAACTAGGAACCCAAAGCCAGAGACTCCTCCATTTGTTGGAAAAAACGCTTGTCCTAACAGCGTCCTTGAGGGGAAGATGAGAAAGTATGTTACACAACAAAGGATCAGGTAATTGACTTATCCTATCTAATTCCTTTAATCTCTCACTCGAACATTTCCATTTTGATTTTTCACTATCAACCATTTGATTTATTTATCAAACAGCGAAATCTGCAAAAGAGAAAAAAAAAATGAAACACGAAGAGATAAGTTGCAACAAACACAAATCAAAACTCTCCTTCAGTTCAAGAGTGAAAATCTAAACCAACCACATTGAAACTAAGTCAACCTAGGGTTTTCAAGTTTTTTCTCCAATGAAAAATGGATTATTTAAATAAAAATACTTTTTTTAAAAAAAAGAGGGCATGAAAGAAGAAGAAGAACCCACAATGTTTCGGCCACCAGAATGCAACCACTTGCCAGAACTGTAGCTCGTAATTTTACCGACGGAATGGAATCGCTCTCAGAATTTGCAAGTTTCTGTTGGTTCTGTGGACTGTAAGAGTTACAAATGTTTTGGTCTTGCCTAAAAGCCCAATAATTAACTCGGCTTTGGGCTGCAATCGAACATATCTTCCTTCTGATATTGCCAAAAAAGCCCAATAACAAACAAATATGGTCCAATTGGACCTATCCAAATCATTTCGGATCAAACTAAGCTTAATTTGTTAAGTATATTTTTCATGCTCGATTTTGCATTTTATTTTTGGTTTCGAATCGGAGAGTTTGTTTAAGTAGCAAGCACAAAAGAACATCATTAGTTTTTAACTTGTTTATAAACAACCTTCCTTTTGATATTTTTCACAAGCGTAAAACAAGGCAGATTAGCCAATTTTAATAGACTCTAGTGACAAACCGATTCTAACAAGAAACGAAAAAATTTCTTGCAAACGTGGGGCTTAAACAGTTTCCATCCCTAACTACTCCAAAAGAAAACATACACATGCCATTTCTTGTGTGACAAGCTTCACATTCACATCTTCTCCCTCTATTTAGTGTACTATTTAGCAATCAAAGTATGATGACTTCACACGTGGAGATCGTTTCAGAATTGACAGGAGAATCTTGAAGAATAAAGTTTCATTTGCAGAATAATAATTCAAACGTAGAGTGATTTTTTTGAGGATTACGGGATTCTCTAGGAAGTATCTTACTAGTTTCATCTCTCGAGCATGTCCCGAGATGCAGGTTTTGATAACAAACACTCTGGCACAAGTGAAAAATGGATTATAGGGTCATGCAGATAATCATCGGAATGAACCTCCTTACAGTTACCATTCCATACCTGATGGTCAGAAAAAAAAGAGACAAACACAATGAAAAAGGCAAAACTTTTCATAGAGATGAGAAATAGGGTTTAAGCAGATCATTACCAAGATGAGGGATTTCAATTTTGGGCAGCTCTTAAGAAAGGTTGGTAACGATTTCAAATCAGATACACGAAGAGTAACACGCAGGCGGGACATGTATCAAAACTGAGGCAACGGTTCTAATCTTGAGTACTGACAGATGAGCTGGAACCAAAAAAAAAAAAATTATAACGTGGGTCAAAAGCTTTCTTGTTAGAAAATGTATATGTACTATACAAGAAAAGACATGTGTATACCTCGAAAGTGTCTGTGCATATTTTCATATCCCTGGCCTTAGAAATCCCGAGGATAAAATCGCGGATACGACTTCTCCTGGATATAACGCTTGCTTCACTAAAATCGTACAAACCAAAGAGGAGATCGACCTTGGCTTTGGAATCCATATTGTTTATTATAAGGCTCACTGATAATCTATCCTTATGCTCAAACACAGCTTAGTTGAGGAGCGTCAATTACAAATCCTAAACCAAGACTCTCTACATACTGCTGTATTTTTATTCTGAGCTTCTTCAATGACCTAGAGCGCACCCGGTAGACTCGTGCACTACGCCATAGCCCATATGCGAAAATCTTTAACTCTTCCAAAACAGGACAGCTAGAGACTAGTCTCTCAAAAATGTCCGCATTGCCAGTACGAATGTATTTCAAATGCATAGTCTTCACACAAGGTAAAGAAACAACCTTGACATCATCCAAGGTCACCTTCACCCCCATAGAGTTTCAAGGATACTAGTGTCTCTCAGTTATAAAGCCCTAATGGCATCTTATAATCAGTGTCAACATGTAGATGTTGAATCTTCCGCTTAACTGCAGCATCAATCCATGACTTGAGATCAGCTTCATCTTCATCAATAACTAACTTGACTTTGTGAATGCAAGAAACTCTATTGGAATAAAAAGAACATGTCATCAAAACTCATAAAGGCATTAAAATTTGGAAAGTTCCAATGTGCCAGTTTCAAACAAGTAACCCAAAGCCAGAGACTCCTCCATCTGATAGATAAAGCGCTTGTCCTAACAGCATTCTTTGGGAGAAGATGAGAAAGTATGTTACACACCAAAGAATCAGGTAATTGACTTATCCTATCTAATTCCATTTTTTCTCTCACTTGCGTTCTTTATCAAACAACAAAATCTGCAAAAGAAAAAAAAAAGATGAAACACAGACATAAGTTGCAACAAACACTAATCAAAACTCTCCAACAGTTCAAGAGTGAGAAACTAAACCCAACCACATTGAGACTAGTTAGCCACTTAGACCTAGGATTTTCAAATTTTTGTAAAATGAAAAAAGGTTAATTAAAAGGTAGGGATGAAGATGAAGACGGAATGGAATCAGTCACTGCAAATTAGGAATTACTCTCAAGACTTAGGGCTAAAGCCAAAACCCGGCTCGGACTTAAAATAAGCCCCCCCCCCCCCCCCCCCCCCCCCCCTCCAAATTGAGCTTTTTAGGCTAAGTCCATTCAGATTAAAGATTTTGACTTAAAGCACTATCAAATTAGGACGTATCTTATTTTTATTATTTTGCACCAAACAAAAAATACTCTGCTTTATTCTATATGTATAATTTTTCTTTTTTATTGTATTATTATTATTATTCTAAATTTTTATCAATTACGGTTCATTCAGTATTCCAAAATTTTATCCAATAAAATTTGTTTGCTGAATATTGTATATAGCTAAAGTGTTTTCAGTATTCAATAATTAATCGCTTCCAAAATAATTACATGTACAATTTGCAAAGCAGGATTACATGAAAAATAAAGTCATAAATGCTAATGATGTGTTCAATGAGGTGGAAGATCAACCAAAAACATGTTAAAAAATTTTTGACATGAGTCTTGAGAAGCATAACTTCTTTACAAAGCAAAGAAATCATATATGAGAGATGCATGTGGAGGGAAAGAGAAAAATTGTTTGTTTGAAAAAAGTTAAAGAGGAGAGAGTTAACATAATGAAGAATTCAAATTGGATATCCAAGTTTTTAATAATTGATAGAGTGTTGAACTACATGTGAAGTAGGGTTACTATTGCTAAAGAAGCGTAACAAACTGTGTTTTGAATATTTTAATTGAAAACAAACGAAAATTAAAAAAAAAAATCTTAGATTTTGATTTTATATTTTTCAGATTTTTTTATCAATGATCAGATTTTATTTTCTATTGTTTTTTCAAATTATTTTAACGAATTTAAAATTTTGTTATTATAAATCCGCAAATATACGGGTTATAGTCTAGTTATTCAGAAAGCCGTGCAATTTATATTTTAGTTGAGTTATAAAATTTTTTTAACAGTTTATTTTTCTAAAAATAATGATTTAAAATATTATTTATTGATCAAAAACCATATAATTCTTTAGTTGTCTGTCTATCTATAAATTTCTGACTGATTTCTATTTCTATCTTGATTTTATTACTTAGATTTGAAGCAGTTTTATTTTATTATTATTTGATATTATCAATTATTTGGATTTATGAAGTTATAATTTTGTTTTTAACTTGAATTGAATTTGATAAAACCATTTATTTTCGAAAAAGATTGTTTAAAGACTTTGTTGATAATTGCATCTTGGAGACAAAGATAAGGAGTTACAAAAGTGAGAGAAACATCTGCAGTGAACAGAACAAAGGTTGCAGATATGTTAGGAAAACATAGAGCTGCCTTCAGTATAGGATCTTATGAATAAAGCAGCAGGCACAAAGGAACATAAAAAATAATACTGATTCACCTCATTGCTTAAGCAACCTTAAGAGTCTCTAGAGATGGACGACGACTGACTTTTACTTTCGTTACACACACAAAAAAAAACCCAACGGATTCTAAACAACAAGAAGATTCTTGCGAAAGTAGCATAACAGTTTTCAGTTTTCACTCTTGTCTACTCTGAAAGAAATATAGACAAAGCCTACTCATGCATTTGTTGTGTTGCAAGAGCTTAAGCGTCTTAATACTCTTGCAAACCAAACCATATTAACTTTTGTCTTCACACAAAATCACCAAAAGCTTCCACCGTGTCTTTACCAATCAGAGGACGACGACTTCACATTTGGTAGAGACTCTTGGGATTCTGAGGAGTTCCTTGAGAGTAAGCTTTTCTCACGTTGAATGTTCCTCCAAAGTTAGAGTGAGTTTCTTGAGGACTGCCGAATTCTCTAAGAAGTACCTCACGAGCTTCATCTCTCCGACATGTCCCGAAATTGGGATTTCGAAATCAACAAACTCGAGAGATAGTGGCAAACACTCAGGCACAGTTGAAAAACTTGTTTCATTCATCTTCTCGTAATCATCATCGCATACCTAAGGATGGGGAAACCAACAAAAAAGGGGATTAAACTAAAACGCAATGAAAAGAGATCACGTCATAGGGATGGAAAAGAAAAAACCCTCAAAAGCGTTTAGCAGATAATCACCAAGACGAGGGATTTCAAGTTTGGGAAGCTCTCAAGAAAGGTTGTTAACCATTTCAAATCGGTTACACGTAGACTGATATGCAGGCGGGACATATCACCAAAACGAGGCAGCGGTTCTAGTTTCGAGTATTCACAGAGGAGCTGGAACCAAAACAAAAATAAATAATGTGGGTCAGAAACTTTCATGATAGGAGAAATGTACATGTCTTAAACCGGTGTTAGCGCATGTGTATATACCTGAAAAGTCTCTCTACTTATAGTCATATCCATGACCGTGGAAACCCCGAGGATTAAACCACGGATGCTACTTCTCCTCCATAACACGCTTGCTTCATTAATATCCCTCGAACCAAAGGTGAGAGATAAATCTAACCTGGCATTGGAACCTATACTGGTTACTACAAACATATCTGATACTCTATCTCTTATCCTCAAAAAGTCTAGTTGAGGAGCATCAATCACAACTCCTGAACTAAAACTATCGACTAACTCTATAGTGAGCTTCTTTAATGACCTAGAGAGCACCCGAAAGACTATTGCATCAGCATTCCAACAGTCGTCAATCTCTAAATCGTCCAGGACAGGGCAGGATGAGACAAGTCTCTCCAAAGTGGCGTCATCGGGATACAATATTCGCACCAGATGCATAGTTTTCAGACAAGGCAAAGAAACAAACTCTGCATCAGGCAAGGCCACCCACTTAAGCTTTAAGAACACCAGTGTCTCACAGGTGAAAAGGCTTATGGGCATCTCGTAAAGATACTCATATACCGAAGACTGAAGATCTAGATGTTGGATCTTCCGCTTAACTGAAGCATCAATCCATGACTTGAGATAAAACTCATTATTTCCATAAATACGTAAGATGAGTTTGTGTATGGATGAAGCCCTGTTGGAATCGAAAAACCTGTCACCAAAACTATTAAATGTATTGAATTTTCTGAATTTTAGGGAGCTCAATTCCAAACTTGGAACCCAAAGCCAGAGACTCTTCCATCTATTGGACAAAACGCTTGTAGAAACAGCTTCCTTTATGGGAAGATGAGAAAGGATGTCACAGATCAGAGAATCAGGCAACTGGCTTATTCTATCTTCTTTCCTTCTCTGACTCAAACCCTTGGAACCAGCCATTTTTTTGTTTTTGTTAGACGAAATCTGCAAAAAAAAAAACAAAAACAAAAACAAATGTTGATAATACAAAGCTTCAGAGAAACAAATTGGATGAAAAGTTAAATAGGCAGACATAGCATGCAACAAACACTAATCAGAGCACTCTCCTTCGGTTCAACTTACTAAACCACATTGAAACTAGTCAGCCTAGGGTTTTCGAGATTAACGGGTTATATATATAAATAAACAAACAAGATGCAAAGGAAGAAGATGAAGAACCCACAGTGTTTCAGTCACCGGAATGCAACCACTAGACGGAAATGTCGATCGTAAATATCACCGGTGGAATGGAATCAGCTACTGTGTAAAGTAGGAGTCATTCGAAGAGTCGCGAGTATCTGTAGATTGTAAAATTTAGAAGAACAAATGCATGTGTTTGGTGTTGTCCAATAATGAACTCGGGTTTGGGCTTTAATTGACATATTATCCTTTGATATTTGCCCAAAAGCCCAATAAATCTTCATTAGAAACTACCTTCCTTTGATTATTTTAATTTTATTGTTTAACTAGTTGGTGATATGTGCTACGCGCGGCTATGTGATTCATTTTTATATATTTTTGTATTAATTTATTGTATCGTATATTCTTGAGAATTTTGAAATGGATTTCTATTTCTCACATGTATCTCTCTCGAATTTTTAATTTTTTCAAATTTCTAGTTTGTGATCCACACAACACAGAGATTTGATTATCATTTTATGTATTTTATATATTATATTTATTGTATTATATAGTTTTTAATATTTTGTAATTATTTATTTTTTTCAATGTACATATCTAGAATTTCTTGTTTTACCTTAATTTCGATCAAATATTATCTACTGCAGATTATTTGGTTTATTCAAACAGATAAGAAAAAGAACATATATGATATTAGATATCCAAATAATCCATTTAAGAACTAAAAGTATATAGTTTTTAAAAATTTCCTCGGCTTTTCAAAATTTTACCAAAATATTTTTTAAAGTTGACTTTCATCCAAATTATCGAGAATTTGTGAATAGATTTTACATAATGCAATTTCTCAAACCATCTCGTAACCCGAATTTCCTGTTCATTTTTATTAGATTTCTTTTGAAAATTGTTATCCGTCTCTCTAATTACCAATTCCCATTACACACTCTTAAATTTCCACTTTTAATTTTGAAATACTCAAAGCTAATGTATATTATTGTTAGAGCTGGATTTGACACCCTAAATTCGGCCCACTCAAGCCCAACGAGCAGATCTGAACTAAGCCAAAAAAGCTGGGTTTTGACCTTACAGCCCAGGTCCATTCACCTTTCAACAACCCGATCCTGAGCAACAAGACATTTCGTTCGACGAGGTCGAGCTCCAGCTCGACCAAATCCCGAGAAACGAGGAAGAATTCGAGCCAAGTCAGAGCATATTCTCGCCAGTTCGAACGAATCCGAAGATCGCGGAGGAAGTTCTGCACGTGGCGAGATATCCAGCTAAGGCTGCTGCACGTGGCCGAGATACGCGCTGGAGCTCGAAGCTCGACGAGGCAAGCTATATAAAGAAGGAAAACGGCTTAGTTCGGGGGACCTTCGGCTTGATCTTCTAACACACTTTTTACACTTAGAAACCCTGTAACTGCTCTCAGAGCTCCTTGAGTTCATCTTCTACACTAAAATCTTTGTAACCGTTTCATTCGACCGATTAATACAAAATCCTTATTTCAGTTAGTGCTAGCTTATATTGTCAATTAGTTCGATAGAATCTAGCTCTCAATTCTTCTAAGTTTCTTTCCTTACAAAACACATAAATTTCTTAGTGTAGATTTCTGCATCCACAATTATTATTATTTTTTTGTATTTTGTGGATTTTTATTTTCTCACAACACACTATAATTTTTTTTATTTGCTATTTTTTATATTGAATGTTCACATTCATTTTTATTATTTTCCATCTTTCTAATTACCAATTTTTGTTACACATTCGAAAATTTCTATCTTGAATCTTGAAATACTCGGAACTAATTTATATCATTATTTCTTTTATAGTATTTTTTGATCTTTTATTTTTCTGACAACATATTATAATTATTTTTTATGTTTACTATTTTTTATATTGAATCTTAATAATAATTTTTATTGTTTTTTGTCACTCTAATTATCAATTCCTGTCACATACTCGTAAATTTCTGTCTTAAATTATAAAATACTAAGAGCTAATGTATATTATTATTTTTGGTTTTGCTATTTCATTGATTTTTATTTTCTGACAACATATTATAATTATCTTTTTATGTTTGTTAATTTTTATATTAGATGTTAATGTTAATTTTATTGCTTTCCGTCTTTATAACTACTAATTCTCGTCAAAGCGTAAGTTTCCGCATTGAATCTTGAAATATTCAAAGCTAATATATATAATTATTTTGGTTTTATTTTATTTTATTTTATTTTCTGACAACATATTGTAATTGTTTTTTTAGTTTTTCTATTTTTTATATTGAATGTTAGTGTTATTTTGTGTTTTAAAATAATTTAAATAATAAACAGTTAATGATGTAGTTGCTAAAGTGGCAGAATGAGAAGTGAAAAAATATATTTTATTTTATTTTCTGATAATATATTATAATTGTCTTTTTAATTTTTATTTTTATATTAAATGATAATGTTATTTTGTGTTTTAAAAAAAATAATAATAAATAATTAATGATGTAGTTACCGAGGTAGCGGAAGAAAAAGTGAAAAAAGGTAATAAGCAATATGCCTATCAGTTTATTGCTAACATCTCAAGTGAATTTCGATTTGGACGATACATATACTATTTCAGAATTAACATCTCAAAATGTAACCACTAGACGGAAATGTCGATCAGCTTACTGTAAATTACGAAATCACTCGACGAGTAGCAAGTATTTGTAGACTGTAAAATTTAGAAGAAAAAATGCCTGAGCTTGGGCCTTGGTGTTGCCCAATAATCAACTTGGGTTTGGGGTGTAATTTACGTACCTTTTTATATTTACCCAAAAGCCCAATACATCTTCATTAGAAACAAACCTTCATTTGATTATTTTCTTTTTATTATTGCTTAATCTGTGAGTGAAGAAGACAAGTTTAAGAAGTAATCAGAAGATGAAACAAGAAACTTCAAATTTAAGAAGTAAAATCGAATGTTTGTTTTAGCTTCGATGATTGGAAACTTCATACACCGAGAACTAAAATTAAAAGTAAATAAGGAAAAAAGAAATTGTGTAACAATTCACTCTCATATGCCTTGCATATCCTCCAATCTCACAATAAAATCAGAGCCTTCTTTTGCTCTCAAACTTCCTTATTTCACAATTTCAGGATTATATTATACAAAAATAAACATGATTGAATTATATGTTATAGTAAATCAGAAGTTTATTAGTATATTTAAGATTTGGCATGAGAGATTTAGATAATGATGAGAAAAAATTGTGAAAATTTTCAATGGCCATCCATTGAAAAATGATAAAAATTTTACAATCAAGTGAGTTGTCATGTAATGCATGTTCTCAAGAAAAATTCATAACTCGGTCATCAAGAAAGATTAAATGCATATAATGAATATTCTCCAATACAGTTAATATCTGGATCGGAACCAAATATATTCTATCTTTATATTTTTAAATGTGCGGTTTATTTTTCTATAGCCCCACTGCAAAGAACAAAAATGAGAGCACAAAGAAGACTGAAGATATACATCGGTTATGTATCACCAAATATAATTTGATATTTGGAATCGCAAACTGGTGATATATTTACGTCACGTTTTGTCGATTGCTATTTTAATGAAGATGAATTCCCACGTTAGGAGGAGGATTAAGAGAATCACCAAATGATATCACCTTGTGTACATACTCTTTGGCTTATCTTGATCCTCCTACTAATCAATGAGAATTTGAGGTTCATACACTTGCAAATAAGGCAAACCAGTTACCTGATGCTTTCACATATACAAAACGGGTGATGAAATCCTATATCCACACTGCCAATGCTCCATCAAAGATAAATGTTCCCGAAGAACATAATGATGGAAATAAAGCAAATAAACTGGTTCAGTTAAAGAACGGGAGACCAGTAAGATCAAAAGATAAAAATTCTTTAAAGAAAAAGAATTTGGGAGTAATAGTTACATAAGAACCAAAGTGTCCTCCAGACATTTGTGGAGAGGTTCCAAAAGAATCAGATAAAGAGATTCATCCAGAAGACACACATGGAACAGAACGGTTTGAGATTTCTATCTCTTTTGCCTAAAGTGGGAATTATGTGCTAGAAGTGAAATAGAAGATAAAGATGGAATATCCAATGTCCATATCAAAATATCAGGAAAGATATGATTGGGGAAAATAGAAAATGACCATAGAAACAGAATTATTCTCTCTCAATAAAAGAAATATTTTTGGACCTATTGTCACAAATGGTGGTGTAAAATCGTTCATATACAAGTGAGTCTTTATAAAAAAAAAATGAAAAAAAAATGAGATCACAAGATATAGGGTTCTACTTGTGACACAAGGATTTACTCAAAAATCGGGAATTGATTAAAAAGAAATGAATTCTCCGGTAATGGATGCTATCACATTTATGTACTTAATGAGCTTAACAGCCTCTAATAATTTAAAGATATATTTGATAGATATTGTGACAGCAGATCTATATAGATTACTTGATAATGATATACATTTGAAAGTCTCTAAATGATTGAAAATGCTTGAAATATTAAAATCAAAATGTAAAAATATATGTGCAATAAATTACAGCAATCATTTTAAGAATTAAAACAATTCAAACATATGGTATAATTACTTAATTGATTATTTGTTGAGAAAAAAGACTATATAAACAATATGTGATATGTTCTTACGTATTCATTAAGAAATCCATATGAAAATACTCATTAAAAGGAGTTTTAAAATGAAAGATTTTGAAAAGATAAACGTTTAATTCGTACAAAGAAACATACAAAAGAGCTTAGAGTCTTTTAGCTACTACAAAGAAACAGACGAAAAAGTCTAAACCTACATTTCTTGTGTGGCAAGAGAGCTTTGCTACATTGAACTGATTAAACAAAAGACAATCTTCTTCACATGTTCCTTCTTCTATGCTTTTACCAATCAGATGAATACAACTTGACACGTAGCAGATTGTTTTGGGATTTTGAGGAGCTCTTTGAAGATGTCAGAGTCTATTGAAGTCGAACCATGGTTCACACGTAGAGCGAGTTTCTTGAGGATCGCTGAATTCTCTAGGAAGTACTTCACCAGCTCCATTTCTGAAGCATATCCTGAGATTGGGGCTTTGAAATGAACAATAACAAACTCGAGCGACGATAACAGACATTCAGGAACAGATGGAAAAGTGATCTGATTCAACTCCTTGGATTCGTCATAATCAGCCAATGCCTGAGGGAAAAAACAGAGGATTAAAAAGAGATGAGAATATAGACAGAAACTTCACGGAGATGAACAAAACAAACTCATTGGGTTGAGCAGATCATCACCATGGTAAGGACTTTCAAGTTCGGGCAGCTCTCAAGAAAGATTGGTAACCAATTCAAATCGGATACACAGAGTGTAGCATGCAGGTGGTACAATGATCGAAACTGAGGCAGCGGTTCTAATTTTGAATAGTCATGAATGACCTGAAACCAAACAGAAGGTAATGTGTGTTAGAAATTTTCACTATAGAAATTGAGCATGGCCAAATACACATGTATATACCTTGAAAGTGTATGAATCTACGACCAAATCCTTAACCCTCGAGATTCCGGGAAGAAAACTGCGGATGCGACTTCTCCTGGCTAAAACGCTTGCTTCATCTAACTCCACCGAACCAAAGTCTAGAGTAATACCTAACGTGGCATTGGACTCCAAATTGTTTACTAGAAAGATATTAGAAACGTTATCACAGATGCCTAGACAGCGTAGCAGAGGAGCATCAATCACAACTCCTGAAACAGAATCAAGCTGGACAGAAGAATCTCGTAAAAACAAGAGCCTCTTCAGTGACCGAGAGTGCACCCGGTAGAATTTCGCATCATTCCTAGCTACGTAGACATCTAACTTTTCCAGGACAGGGCAGGATGAGACAAGTCTCTCGAAAGTTGCCTCGTTGGGGTATAGTATTCGCACCAGATGCATAGTTTTCAGACAAGGCAAAGAAACAAACTCTGTGTCAGGCAAGGCTACCCACTGAAGCTTCAAGAACACCAGTGTCTCACAGGTGAAAAGGCTTATGGGCATCTCATAAAGATACTCTGGATAACACTGAACGTGTAGATGTTGGATCTTCCGCTTAACTGAAGCACCAATCCATGAAGTGAGATAAGAGGCATCGTCTTCATCATCATCAACTTTGTAGATATCCAAGATGAGCTTTTGTATCCAAGAAGCCCTACCGGCATCGAAGAACCTGTCACCAAAACTCACAAAAGTAGTGCGTTCTGGGAAATCTCGGGAATCCAAATCCAAGCTTGGAACCCAAAGCCAGAGACTCCTCCATCTTGTGGACAAAACGCTTGTCTTAACAGCATCCTTTGTGGGAAGACAAGAAAGTATGTTACAGACCAAAGGATCAGGTAACTGGCTTATCCTATCTTCTTTCCTTCTCTGACTCAACCCCTTGGAACCAGCCTTTTTCGATTTCCCTCTACCAATCATTTGACTTTTTTTTAGACAACGAAATCTGCAAAAAAACAAATGTTGATAAGGCAAGCTTCATAGAAACAGAGTGGATGTAAAGGTAAATAGGCAGACATAGCATGCAACAAAAACTAATCAGAAAGCTCTCCTTCAGTACAACTTCCAGTGACAGAGAGAAACTAGTCAGCCTAGATTTTCAAGATTTTCTTATGAAACGGGTTATAGAAACAAACAAACAAAAATGCACAAGGAAGAAATAAAGAACCCACAGTGTTTTGGTCACCGGAATTCAATCACTATGTGGAAATGTCGATCGTAATTTCTCCTGCGAAATGGAATCAGCTACTATGTAAATTGGGAGTCATTCCAAGAGTCGCCAGTGTCTGTGGAAGAACAAATGCCTTTGATATTTAGAAGAACAAATGCATGTGTTTGGTCTTGCCCAATAATCAACTCGGATTTGGGCTGTCATTGAAGTATCTTCCTTTAATATTTACCCAAAAGCCCAATAAATCTTTATTAGAAACTACCTTCCTTTGATTATTTTAACTTTATTGCTTAATGAATCTGTGAGTGAAGAATGACAAATATGAATAAGCAATACGCCTATCAGTTTATTGCTAACATCTCAGGTGAATTTCGATTTGGACGATACGGATACTATTTCAGAAGATGAAACAAGAAACTCCAGATTTAACAAGTAAAATCGAATGTTTGTTTTAGCTTCGATGATTGGAAACTTCATCATACACCGAATAACTAAAATTATAAATAAATAAGGTAAAAAATAGATTGTAGCAATTCACTCTCATATGCCTTACATATCCTCCAATCTCACAATAAAATCAGAGCTTTCTTTTCCTCTCAAGCTTCCTTACTGCTTCGCCATATAATCAGAGCTCTGTCGTGGCTTGCTCAAGATCTTAACGTTTGAGATGCTTTCTCTTTGAACTGGTTTCTTCAACCCCTGAGATTGAGCCATAGGAGTCATAGCCACATACATCGAGTTTGGAGATGGTGAAGCTGTAGCTGCTGCTGCTGCTACTTTGGCTGCTGCTGATGAAGCTGAAGCTGCTACCATCTTCTGTGCGCCTTCTCGAACTTGAATGTAGTCGTCCTCTATCACAAATAACTGCAGCCAAAACCAGTTTCGTTACTTTCAAAAGTTTCGAGAGACAAGACATTAAAACTGTTTGGGAACAGGGATGAGACAGACCTCGACATGGCTACCAACAAAATCGTCGAGCTTCCCATACTTTTTCTTGTAATCGTGCCAGTGCAGAGGTGCTAGCATTTTGCCCAAACGATTAGGAAGCTGTAAAATGACATATTAAGCAGATGTTATAAGAAAAGACTATTTCGAAACACAACTGTTCACTCTCAAAGTTGTAGTTTGCTCTCACCGTTGAACTGATTCTGATTCTTCCACCAGATGGAATAGTGCGAACGATACAAGCCAAAAGTGACTTTTCATCAAGAAGAGCACTCCCTACGTTCCTCTCAGCTTTTCCAGATGAGACTTGAGCTTCACGCACGATGGATCCAATTCCATTTTGTTCACCGGGTGAAGCCTGACCATCAGACTCCTGGGAAAGAGATCAGATAGAAAACAGATTCAGAATATTTCCCCTAACTACGTTCCACAAGCCAAGAAATTTTTCCAGATGATACGTGCACACCTCAGGTTTCTGATTCAGGGCATTGGAATCTAGCCTTAGTGCATCACGGAACTGTGAAGAAATGTCTTGAAAGTCTCCATTCCCAGATTCCACTATCTGTTAAGCAGTAGTTTCTAAGATAGGTATCGAATCGGAATAAGTATTACGGTACCACATTTAATTACAAGAACATCCCCTACCTGTTCACTCACAGACGATGATGGTGTAGTTGATCCGTATTGTGCTCCATGGCTAGTTTGAACATCCAGATACCCTTGACCAAGGGACTGTCCATTGGCAGGCACCTGATATTCATTCTTCGCATCGGAACTTGTCAAGCCATGAACACCTTGAGATGGATGCACATGATTCTGCATAGGCATCTGTGAGCTATCTGGTATAGCCTGCGAAAAAATCATGAAAGACTATGGTCATTAACTGTTCTTTCGCAAAGTGAAACAAAAATATGCATTCTTTAACCTCGCACCTTTTGCTGCAGCAGCACTGTTTGTGCAACATGAGGTGAATGGCCCCGAGGCTGAACAAGCTGAGGAATTTCTTGTTGACGCATGACAAAAGAATGCAGAGGGGTCATCTGACCCGCTTGAAGGTACCCCTGCGTCGCATGATCAACTTCTTTGTTCTATAAATAATCACAAAAGGCAGTCACGGTTAGGATAGGATTCATTCCAAGTGCTATAGCCAAGAACATAAGTCATCAGGACTGAACATGATGTGGAACATGAAAAATCTAGAATTTCCAGCATAGTACTTTTTGGCTGCCAGGAAATCAGGAATATTCACTTATTCCACTTTTGGTAAACGATTTTAGCATCTAACACCTAAAAAACTGTACCTCGATTTGGTTCCCGCTGCTCTGATTAATCTGGGAGGCACCGTTAGAATTAGTTTTAGAGCCACCTCCTTCCTTTACATTGACAAGCTGAAGCTGAAGCTGTTGAACTGTATGCAAATGCAACCTCTCCATCTCCGCAAACTGAACTCAATGAGATGAACCATATAAGATAGGAGTAGAATCATATCTCAAGCAGAATAAAGCAATTTTTGGAAGAAATTCAGAAAACCAACCTGTCTTTGGCAACCAAGCCAGAGCTGGTTATACTGCTCAGTACGTTCTCGCAATTCAGCCTGCAACGAGTGATTTGTAGTTGACTGTAAAGCATCCATCTCTTGGGCACGCGCAATCCAAGCTTGCGCTTCTCTCAGTTGCTCATCCTTGTACATGATAGTTTCCTGAGCAATCCTATTCTACAAGCCATTAAGGATAAGGAATCTGTTATTACCATGATAATGAGATATAACTGCTACATCCATAACCACGAGATGTTTGAACAGATTTGATCACGTCACAAAAACACGGGAAAACTAACTTGTTCCTGCAGTTCAGTGAACTGTCTCTCTTTCTCTTGAATATGCTCCTGAAGTTCAGATAATTTATGCATATTCTGGGACCTCTCAGCATCAGAATGATCACGCTCCCTTCTGCACATTGAAAATGGAAAAAATGTAGTTTGTTACATATTCCAAAACCTCACGCCTAATAAAATCTTATTATACAAGTAGAAGCCGAATGCCCAAATATCTAAGACTCCAAAAAAATGAATCACTCTCAAAGTAAACTGTGAAAGCAAATGTATGTAAAACCTTAACGAAGAGAAAACAGATTCAAGAATGAGAAGCACCTGAGAGTAGCAAGTTCTTTGTTTTGTTCTCTTAGGAGACCTTCTTTCGCCCAGGCCTGGCAAGAGTACAAGGAAAAACTTAGAATCAAACCATTCATATTAATTTGTATCTGAAGAACACTTTGGAACAAAATGTAAACCAACAGACCGCTTCGTTATCAAGTTTAATCGCATGAAGCTCTCTGTCTTTCTCTTCTATCTTTCTCTCCATCTCCCGAATAGATCTCTCCTTCTCATGAAGTTGCTCCTAAAAGTTCAACAACATTAAAGTGCTATTTGAAATACAAAAACAACCAAGCGCTACTAGATAATTTCAACATATATATATACAGAATGAGATTCAACCTGCATTCTAGCTGCAGCATTTTCATACTCTGCGGAACGAGACTCAAAGTTTCTCTGGATTTCCATTGCCATCATCTGAGCTCGGAGCTCAATCTCCCGCTGCTGTAGCTCCCCTTTCTGTCTAGAAACGTTACGAATCTGCTCCAACAGTTCACCATCTGAACAAGAACCATCCATCGTAATGGAGTAGAAATCCAAATCACCAGGCTCTCTTCCATTCTGCGTCACCAAGAAACCCCACAAAAATGTTGTTTCCACTCTCCAACAAGCAAAAAATTGAAAAAACCAAAATGGAATTGCAAGATAGAAGTAATTCACCTCGTATATGGTTCTCTCATCTGTCTGGTTTAGCTTCAACTGTTGCAAATCCTGCAACAAATTTGACAAAAAAAGGAAAATCAAAATGTGAAGTAGGAAACAACCAAAGGCAAACGAGTATCGAAAATGTCATCGCTAAAGAGCTACTCTGAGCTATAATTGACACAGAGAACAGATAAAACAGTATCACGCGACCCAGAAAATTGCAGATTCAGAAGGAAACACGTCCCAGAGAGCACATTACCACATAGTCTGTAGCGTTGCCGAAGTTATGTGAATCCGGAACGGCGCGCCACTCTTTCCTTGACGGGTTCGGCGACGGATTCGGTAGCGAACCGCCACGAGTCGCGGCTACGCTCGAAGCGGTCTCCATTAGAGAGAAACCCACAGAAGATCCACTGAGAAAACTAGGGTTTTATTGGAAAAGTGAGTAAGAAGAAGAGAACAAAAACCCTAAGAGATTCTTGCTAAGACGCAGACAACGACGATGGATAAAACCCACGATTAACGAAGGAGAGTAGCTGAAGAAAGGTTTAAGGAACGAAAATGGTGGAAATGTTTGACGCAGGAGAGACGAGCAAAAGTGCGAGAGAGACGACGACCCGAAAGTTGTGAAAAATTACAGTATCAATAATGAATGAGTTGGCGATTTTCTACTCCAAAAGAGTGAAGATCGTGTTTCTGGTCATCTTGGGCCTATTGGGCCAAAGTTACCTTCGGCCATACTATCCGCTTGTGGTTTAATTCGGGTTTTAGCAGAATTTCGGTCTATCTCGTTGAAGATTTTGCGAGAAAATTAAAAAAAAAAAAAAAAAAAAAACAATTGATATTTAGACCAATGCTAAGAACTAAGAGCATGAGTAATGGAGAGCTGGCAAAAAAACTCTAAAACCGTTTCCAACCGATGTCTTTACATATGAAAAAGCCTAGACAATCTCACTATCTTTCCTTCAACTCTTTACAAGATTAGAGGATGACGACTTCACATTTGGTAGAGGCTCTTGGGATTCTGAGGAGTTTCTTGACGTAATCAGAATTCGAAGAATGTTCCGAAGGTACTGCTAGAGTGAGTTTCTTGAGGATAGCTGAATTCTTTAGGAAGTATTCTATTAGCTTCACTTCAGCAACATATTGGATTGGGACTATAAAATCAACAAACTCTAGAGATGATAGTAAACACTCAGGCACAGATGAAGAAGTATCTTCATCAATGTTATCATAATCCTTCACGCATATCTGAGGGGAAAAAAAAAAGAAGGATTAAAACACAATGAAAAACAAAAAACAAAAAAAAAAAACTCATAAGGGTTTAGCAAATCATCACCAAGATGAGGGATTTTAACTTTGGGAAGCTTTCAAGAAAGGTTGGTAACGATTGATAATCGGATAAAAAGATATTGATACGCAAGCGGGACATGTAACCAAACTTAGGCAGCGGTTCCGGTTTCAAGTAGTGACATATGATCTGGAACCAAAAAAACGAAAAAGAATGTAATAGGTCAGAAGCTTTCTTGATAGAAAAATTTGCAATATGTCCTAAACCGGAAATTAACAAATGTATTACCTTGAAGGTGTCTCTACATATTGTCATATCCCTGACCATCGAAATCCCATTGAGAAAACTGCAGATGCTATTTCTAATCGATGAAAACTCAACAACTTCGTAATCTTCCGGATTCATGTAATACTCCTCCTGAGCGACCAAACCGAAGTAGAGAGAGACTTCTAACATTGCATTGGACTCCATACTGTCCACTACGAAACTTTCCGATACGTTATCATTGATCTTTAAATAGCCTAGTCGAGGAGCATCAACCGAAACTCCTTCGGAATCAAACACGAAAGAAGAAAATCGTTCGAAATCAAGCCTCCTCAACGACGGAGAGTGCACCCGAAAGGCTTGTCCATCATCACAAGCTACAACAATCTTCAAGTCTTCCAGTACGGGGCAGCATAAGACAAGTGTCTCAAAAGTGGCCTCGTTGAGAAACTCGATATATTCTAGATACATAGTCTTGAGACAAGGTAAGAAAGCCAAATCGAGATCGCCCAAGGTCAACTGAAAGAGTTTTAAGCATACCAGTGTGTCACAGTTATAAACCCGTGGAGGCATCTTATGAAACTTACGGTCTGCGTAACAATAGGAACCAACATGTAGGTGTTGGATATTACGCTTAGCCGCAGCATCAAACCATGACGCGAGATAAGAGCCATCATCATCTGCACCGTCCTCGTCGATATTATGAATAGTTAGCTTGAGCTTGTGTACGCGTGAAACCCTAGTGGAATCGAAAAACCTGTCACCGAAACTCCTGAATGTATTAAAATCTGAGAAGTCTCGGGATTTCAACTCAAAACTAGGAAGACCAAGCCAGATACTTCTCCATCTAGTGGATAAAACGTTTGTCTTAACAGCGTCCTTTGTCGAGAGAAGAGAAAGTATATGACATATCAGATGATCAGGTAACTGGCTTATCCCATCTTCCTTTATTCCATCATGTTCCTTCATTGAGAAGGAAAACACAAGTTTCAGAGACGCAATCTGGATTTGTATATCTCTTATAGTTCACGTTCGACTCAACCTAACCTAGGCCAAAGTCTTGACATCGTCTTATATACTAGTTGTGTATGAAACGATGACGTTTCGAATGAGCAGGGAATTCATGGCAAGAATTGAGTCAAACGTAGTCGGTTTGGTTTGCAGCCGGTTCTCTTACTCCGATTGTGGAATCGGAGTAATCTTCGGCCCATTTTAATCCGGTTCGGGTTTACTTTTATAGAATTTCAGAATTTTGTTCTCAACGCAGATTTTAGTTTTACTTCGTTGAAGAATTGTCATGTCTTGTGGATACGGATTCAATCATCTTTTTCTTCCTTTTCTTTTAATTTAGTTGAAAAACTTAAGTACTTATCAGTTTTGTTTTTTTTCCCCGCGCGGTTTTGTGATTTGTAAAAATGTTCCAGTGTGACCTGGTAAGAGACCGCCATGGAAATTCAGAACCGAACGAGCAAAACTCAATTTTCGCAACCAAAAACAGTGAGATTTACTGAGAAGTACAGTACATGTATAATTATCATTCTGTTTTTGCTTATTATACATACATTTCTTGACGCCTACGTCAATTGCTTAAACCAGTCAAAGACAAGCTTGACATATTCTCTATAGTCTTCACCATTCCAAGGACGACGACTTCACATGTGATAGAGCGCCTTGAGATCTCGAGGAGTTTCTTGACAAAGTCATCTTGAATTGCATGATCATGCAAACATATAGTGAGTTTCTTGAGGATTGTCGAATTCTGTAGGAAGTATCTCGCTACCTTCATTTCTACGGCAAATCCCAAGATGGTGCTCTTAATATCGACAAACTCGAGGGACGATAACAAACACTCAGGCACTGAAGAAAACCTGACTTGACTCATCTCATTGATACGCATCTTCTTAGAGTTACCATTCCAATCCTGAGGGGAAAAAACAAAAACAAAAAGAGAGGAGATTAACACAATGACAAGAATAGCTATTGCAGAAACCTTATCATATGTCGGGTTTAGCAGATTAATCACCAAGGTGAGGGATTTCAGATTCGGGCAGCTCTCAAGAAAGTTCGACAACCATTCTAAATTGGATACAAGGAGAGTTACACACAAGCGGGACATGCAACCAAACTGAGGCAGCGGTTCTAGTTTCGAGTATTCGTACATGACCTGTGACAGAACAGAGAAGAATGTGTGGATGATGAGAAACTTTACATGTCCAAGATCTATATTCACATTACCTGTGTATTACCTTGAACGTGCGTGGACATATTCTCATTTCCCTGACACTTGAAACCCCTGAGAGAAAACCGAGGATGCTATTTCTCCTCGATGAAACGCTTGCTTCATCATAATGCCTCAAACCAAAGAGCAGAGAAATATCTAACTTGGCATTGGACTCCAGATTGTTCACAATAAAGCTCTCTGATGCGTGATCATTGATGCTCAAAGTGCATAGATTAGGAGCATCAATCACAACTCCTGAAACAGAGTCAAACTTGAAAGGAGAGACTCGTACGAAAACAAGCCTCTTCAGTGACCGAGAGCACACCCTATAGCCTTTTCTATCATTCCAAGCTATTTTAATCATCAAGTCTTCTAAGACAGGACAGCTCGAGATAAGCCTCTCGCAAGTGGTCTCGTCCGGATACCAGTTATTTTCTAAACACATAGACTTCAGACAAGGTAAAGAAACCAACTCGGCATTAACCACGTTCACCTGAAAGAGTTTCAAAGATACTAGCGTCTCACTGGTATAAAGGCTTGAGGGCATCTCATAGTAAAACTCTGGCGGACAACGAACATCAAGATGTTGGAGCTTATGCTTAACTGCAGAATCAATCCATGACTTGAGATACGAGGCATCATCTACACCGCCTCTGTATTCACAGATATCTAGCTTCACTTTGTGTATGCAAGAAACCCTCTTGGGATCGAACAACCTGTCACTAAAACTCACAAAGGCATTGAAATCTGGGAATTCACAAGATGCCAGATCCAAACCAGGAACCCAAAGCCATAGGTTTCTCCATCTGGTGGATAACACGCTGGTTCTTACAGCATCCTTTGTTGGAAGATGATAAAGTATCTGACATATCATTGAATCGGGCAACTCGCTTATCATATCTTCTTTCAATCTCTCACACAGCCTTTTGGAACAAGCCTGATTCGCTTCCCATCTACCAACCATGAGTTAATTCCTCTGCATAAAGCTTTTCTGCTCAACAAAAAAAATTGATGATAACGCAAGTTTTCAGAGAGACAAAATCAGGATTTGTAAATTCACAAGCTCGAGTTAGCCTATAACCTAACACTGATCAAAAATCTCCATGTAGTGAAAGAGAATTACATCAATCAACTCGCTCAAGACTAAATTAATACTAGTCAAGATAAAGGGTTTTTCGACGTTTTCTCATGGTTACTACAGATCAAAAACGAACGGTGAAAGAAGGAGAAGAACCCACCGGTGATTTTCGCCGACGGAAATGGAATCTGAAGTAGCATGCACGGATCAATTTTCTCGCCGGAGACACTCGTTAAGCTCTGCGATTTAATTGTTAATTGTTCATCTCTGTGATATCGTGTTGGTATTAGAGAGCTAATCAAGGTAATCAATGCGTATTTATACAGAATCTGTGCGTCGATTTGTCTAAAGATTGATAATAACGACTCAACGACGCCGTTTTCTCAGTAGTAGTTGAGGGGTTTATTTCAAAGAAACGACGGCGTTTTAGTCGGGGATGGTCGTCTCTTAAGCAAAAATTTTAATCGAGACATTTGAGAAAGGAAGAGGAGGAGGAGGAAGAAGAAGAAAATGGGGTACGTGTTGAGGGTAAGATTGGCTTCTTTCTTCACTGGAGCTGCGACTGCGTCTTTTATCGGCTTCGCTGTTCTCTATAAGGATTACAAAGTCGCTCACGAATCGATTTCTCAGCAGGTTTGCAATCGATTAGGATTCTGTTTATCGAATCGGATCCCTTACTTTGATTTTTTTTTTCTCTTGGCAAAGGTTGTTGATTCCCCCATGAATTTGATTTCAGAATAGCCGCGAATAGTTACATTTCGTTAGCATGGTTGTTAAGAAAGAAATTTGTTGATCTGTATCTGAGAGTTGAAAAATTTTCGGAGATACTGAGAGCATTCTAGGGTTCATATGTTTACTCCTTTAAATGGAATTCTTTAGTCTCTCTGCGATTTTCGCTTCCGATGCAAACCTGTTTTAGCCATTTTGTTATATTCAATTAGGAATTAGGGTTTCTGGGCTGTGTTGCCATTTACTGGTGAAATTTTGGTCTTGAACTATGGACATGCTTGCGTTTCGTTAGTGCTGCATTTACATCATTGAGACATACTTTATAATCAGCTTTGTGACTTGAGATGCCAGATTTGCTAACATGAGAAAACTTTCAAACATTTTGGTAACGCTGAGTACTGGTCGAGTTGAAGAACAATGGGTCATCACAGCTGCAATTTCTCTGTAGTTTTAATGCTATATGGGGAAATGTATTCGTGATACTGCGTTTATGTTATTAAAACATGCTTTAGACTTAGTTTTTTTTTTTTTGTGAATAGAGAAGATGCATAGTGTTAACATGAAAAAACTGTCAAACATTTGGTAATGTGAGTATGGGTTGAGTGAGATTGAGGCATAACATAAGTACCGTCATCATTGTGAATATCCACTATCAGCATTTTTCTTAGCTTTTACGATATTAGAACTAACATTTGTTTTGTACAGGCAAAGGCTTTTCATGACTCTCTGGATAGAAGGATCTCCACTCTTGAAAGCTTGAAACAAAGTGAAGCTCCTCAGCTTGCTGAGACAACTGATTAGCATCTGTCTCGACATTGATACTCATGTTTTTGAGGTTCGTTCTTTTTTCGCTTTTATGAATAACTTGGAAGTTATTGTATGACTGCTGTTATAAAACGATGAAGTTGAAGTAGTCTACATGGATTGAAACTTGCTGTAACACTTGCCTTGAAAATTTTATGTTTCGATATATTCTTTTGGATCTTAAACCATTAGTCTTGTTCTTCAGACACATTCGCTTTTTATCTAGACTAGCTTCAAAAAGCTTGAATCTATAGTAGCTTGAGATGTAGCAGTTTTTTTTTTTTGTGTGTGTGTGGAAAGAGATCAAGCAGTTATGGTGAAGATAAGCAACAGCTTTCGTTTGACTATACCAAGAACAATCTGGTTTACTCATGAATCGAGTATGGGCCGAACGAAGGAGCCTCTATTGTCCTTATATGGGCTCAAGTTGGATTAAGAGTCTTAACTTAAGACCCAATTTAATAGAACAGTAGTTTTCCCATTTCTCTTACACTCTCACGGGTTTGGAATTTATGGTTTTGCATCACAAAAAAAAATGAAGTCTTGCAGAGTTAATCAAAGACATAATCGAAACTTAGCTAATGATAGGGGATTTCGTAAATTTAATTGATTAAGACACTATAATCCGTTAGCTGTCCTCTTCTAATCCCAATCGTATACCAAAACCTTCTGTTTCAAACACAACTTTTTACGTTTATGTTTTTCAAAATGCTAGCATAAATTTTTCTGGTTTGTGTTTGATGCTATACGTTTACAACTAACCAAACAAATTTCTTCAAATGTTTGATTACTTAGAAGGCAAACGCAAACACAAAACGCAGACAGTTGTGAACAGTAACCAAAATCTTCTAGTTTTTTTTTGTTTTTGATAATCAAAATCTTCTAGTTCTTTATCATTCCCGTTATAGAATATCGCTTTCTAAAAAGCTAGCTAAATCTAGTTTTCACATTATCAAAGAAACACAATAAATAGGGAAAAGAAAGAAGGAAACATAATGGAAAGACATGTCGAGAGCACATGGTGTTTTGGCTAGTGACAGTTTTCGATGTGAAAGAATAAAAATAACATGGAAAAGAAAAGTAGAAATAATAATATGAGAGAGAGATATGCGTTTGTCTCCTTGGCGGTGGTATGGTGGCTTCGTTATCACCCGACACCTCCTCAAAATTGAAATACACCTAATAATTCATAATTACATAACACATCTCGTTATGTGGATACGACACTTAATCATGGATGGTTTTGTTGTTCCATCATTTTTCCCAAATCATGAAATAAAACATTGTTGAAAACGTAAATGTTGGATGAGACTTTGGGATCGGAATCCAACTACTTAAATTGGAATTTAAAAATCTCAACATTTCTTATTGTTTTTATCGACTATGTTATCTTTGATGAGATTTATTTATTATATAGGTTTAGTCACAAGTCACACAACTAAGTTGGTAATTGATAAATAATTATTTGCACTGTAATTTTTGTCATGGACTCACTCCATTGATCTCATATATCCTATCTAAATATAATTCAAGCGCCACTTAAATGGACAATGAAGAATTGTCCAATTGGTTTTGCAGCTGTTGCAAATCTTAAATCGTAAATATTTAGGTTTTAAATTTTATGTATACAGTAAAAACTCTAAAATGCTTGTTTTGAAAAAAAAGACCCAAAAAAAAACACACATCAAAATTGACTCTATAGTGATAGCTGTAAGTTTTTAGAAGGGAATCCAATAAAAATAATACAAAAATCTGATTGAAGAGCAATATAGTTGATGTATAAGTTTTACGTACATTTCTAATTTTCTATTCAGTATTCACACACGGAGACGTGGTTTGCATTTTTGGTGATTTTACCTGCATTGACATTTGAATTTTACCAAACAGTAGTATCTGACAAAAATTAATATATAGTCTGTATATACAGAGCCAACACTATGAATTTTATAAAAAATATATTAACTTTTAACTGGATGTGAAAGAAGAGAGAGCATCAATCAATATTGAAATGGGAAGAGGCTGCGAAGTCAGAAGAAGTTTTAATTAAAAAAGGACAATAAATGGGGGGATATGGGTCCTGAAGAAGAAGAGTGTCCACATCAACTTTTTACCATCCTATTTTGTCTTGTGGCTTTGTGCTTCTTTGGATTCAAAGCTTGAGACAAACAGAAAGACGTTCATTACTTGGCTACGCAACAACTTCACTTTCTTTGCTCTTGTCACAATCTTAACCCATTTTCCTTACGTCTAACGTCTCATAGATTCCTTTTGAGAAAAATTTCATCTTCTTCAAAGATAATAGAGACCTGTGCAGTTTGATCCACATGGGTTTGTCACTAGTGTAGATTAGACTTGAGTTAATCTACTTGATTCAAGGTTCTGTTTATATTGATCCTGGTTCTGATTTAGTCTGACCTTCTCGATAACCAACTAGTTTACTATTTTATATTTACCATATTATACTTTATAATCAATCTTGTCAAAGAAACATCAATCTACTAAAACTAGATTCAATAGAAAAACATATCCACCGCTAGATCGTTACATCCCCTAATTGATAATGGTCTCAAGATGGGTCTGTCTTTTAAGGATTTGATCCAAATGTCGGAAGCATGGAGGCATAGTATAGGACAGTCTTGGCGGCAACCCATCACTACTCCATATCAATTGCATCCACCCTAAATCTCAACCTCTCTCTCTCTCTCTATGATACATGTATATATATGTTACATTGGTATGATATGAAGGCAAGCAACATTTTAATCATTATCTTTATTTCTCACCAAATTTATAGCCCACACAAGTCCTGCAAAACTTCTGTAAAACGGATCTTTACTTTCTTTGTTTTTATAAAAAGCCACACGTTTCTTTCAGCATCTCCGCATGAAGATATAAAAGGCAAACATTCTCCTAATCTTTTACAAAGAGCTTTAAATCTCAAAACCTCATGGACTTTCTCAAAGTTTCAGACAAGACAGCAACAACTCCCTGTAGAAGTGACTCTATGTTTGGTTTGAATCAGCAACAATACAAAGAGTCATCTTTTGGTTACAGAGACATGGACATTCATCCTCATTCTCATCCTCATGTCATTACTCCTTGTAAGAACCTCTCATCTCTATTCTCTTCTTTTGATTTGATTCTCGAAACAGAGATTAAAAAACAGAGCATAACGAATGTTCTTCTCATGATTTGTAACAGATGCAGAAAACGGAGTTTTGGGTTGTTATTATTATTACCCTTTCACAAACGCGCAATTGAAAGAGCTCGAGAGACAAGCGATGATCTACAAGTACATGCTCGCGTCGATTCCTGTTCCTTTCGATCTCCTTGCCTCATCACCATCATCCTCGGCCTCCCCATGTAGTAAGAAAAACGTGGCCGGTGATTTAGAGCCGGGAAGATGTCGTAGAACAGACGGGAAGAAATGGAGGTGCTCAAGAGAAGTCGTCCCTAATCACAAATACTGTGAGAAACACTTACACAGAGGCCGTCCTCGTTCAAGAAAGCATGTGGAACTTCCTTATTCTCGTCCTAGCAACAATGGTGGTTCCGAGAAAAACAGGGATCTCCGAAATGTTCCTCAAAAGCTATCGATCAGTTCTATAAATGACAAAAAACTTGAGCCAAAGGAAGCTTCATCATCCCTCTCAAACTACAGAGAATCAAGGTCTTGTTCTTTAATTTTATATCTCATAAAAATGCTCTGTTTTTTTCTGTTCACTGAGAGTCAGAACAGTACTCTGTTTTCTTTTTTCTTATTATGAAAACTGTGGATATGTTTTGATCTGTTTTAGTTATTGTTTTTCGACTTGGAAAACAGAGGAATCGAGATCTTTCCTGTATCGGCGACAATCGAGCAAGACAACAAGTATCTGAACTTCATCGATATCTGGTCTGATGGAGTAAGATCATCTGAAAAACAGAGCACGGCTTCAACCCGTGCTTCTTCTTCCAATAGCAATCTCTCTCTTTACTCGCTTGATCTTTCCATGGGAGGAAACAACTTAATGGGCCATGACGACATGGGCCTGATACAAATGGGCTTGGGGGTAATCGGGTCGGGTCGTGATCGGTACGGTTCATATGGTGTGTCTTCAGAGGAGATGCCGAGCTGGGTTGCGCCGACGTCCGCCACTCCCGGTGGACCATTAGCGGAGATACTGAGGCCGAATCCGAATTTGGCGTTCTCCGGCGAAATGGAATCGTATAGCTTGACGGCGACTCCGACTCCGAGCTCCTCGCCGTCTAGAGCGGTGAAGAAGTTGACTGGATCAGTGTCTGATGAAAGCAGCCAGATTTAGGATTTATGGAGTTTTTGGTGATGAGTGACTTTTTTGTTGTGTCTTCGTTTGTTTTGCCTCGTCTTTTGATCTTGGGCCGGTAAAACTGTAATCAGTCACTTTAATTTAGTTACCGAGATTATTCGGCCATTGCTTTTTAATCACTTTTTAAACTTTTTTTGAATAACGATTGACATATAACGACCTTTTAAACTTTTTAGACGTCAAAAAAAAAAGTTTTTTTGAATAAAACGAAAGTGAGTCCAATTAGGATTTATATATATTAATTCAGTTTTATGTATTTCCAAAATCTTAAATTCGTTTAGTTTTTCTTATTGTGTGCCAATCATTTATTTATTTATTTTATATATGTTGGTAAAGATCCGTTTAGGTTTTGCTTTTTCTGACGGCAAAAATTCAAATATAGGTTATGTGTGTTTAAGGTTGCTTATTTAATAGATACTCTTAGATTTTCTTAATCCTAATCCGCATATGATTTCGTTTGACGTCTTCTATATATACACTCGTTAAGTTTATAGCTTTTTTCTTCTTCTGCATATAGTCTCCACTAAACTTTCAATCTCTTTTCGTTTTTGTAAATCTTTGTGAGAGAGAGAGAGATGTCTCAACCCCAAAACCTCGACACAACATACACAAAGATATTCGTGGGAGGTTTGCCTTGGGTAACAAGAAGCGAAGGCTTGAGAAGTTTTTTCCAACAGTTCGGAGAAATTATCCATGTTAATGTCGTTTGCGATAGAGCAACAAAACGATCAAAGGGATATGGATTCGTAAGTAGTCAATAATTATATAATAATTATCTTAACTACTAGAGATTATATGCAACCATGATCAGTTTTGAATTCTTGTTCAGGTCACGTTCAAAGATGCTGAATCCGCAACGAGAGCCTGCGTGAATCCGAGTCCAAAAATAGACGGACGAATAGCCACTTGCAAACTGGCTTCTGATGGTCAGAACATTAACCAAAACCAACCCAACATAACCGGTTTTAGAAGCGACGATCTTTGTTATTTATCCCAAAGTTTTATGCAAAACCAGCAACAATTTGCATATCTTCAACAACCACCAGCTACTTATGTTGTACCTTACTGGTATAATATTTTTTCTCATTGTAGTAGTTTTTTTTCTTCGGACTATTTTGTTTCCATATTGAAACATAGTATAGTTTCTAATCATGGTTTTGTTGATCAACATGAAACTAAAGTAATTTTTTTTTTTTGCAATATTCAGGAACCAACACTATCAGCAAGATTATTCGCAGTATAATCTACCGTGGCAGTATGCTCCACAAGGGTATAATCCACAGTATGATCCACAGTATTACCAAAATTACTTTGTGGTTGATACCAACATAACGTATCAGCAGCATCCGTCTACGAGCGTGCCGAGAGATAATCGAGCGGAGTATCAGGGTTTGACTATACGCTCGTTGCCTTCGAGCCCAAAAGATTCACCTACCTTGAATGATGAAACAAATCCAATGTCCGATGAAAGCAGTCAGAATTAGGAATTTCATGTGATCACCACTTTTTTATTTTATTTTGGTTGTCTTCTTTTATTTACCTCTTTATGAATCTTTGTGTCTGTTATAAACAGTCGCTTGCATTCACTATATGGATTTATATTCGGTCAATGCTAATTTGAAAATCGTTTGGAATTTGTTAAGTCGTTCTTGAATCTTTAAATTCATTAGATTAACCAGAAGCAAGTCAAATTACTAATCTGATATTTTCGAAAATCTTAAATACGTTAATCTTAAATAGTAGTAGTGTTTATTTGTTCAGACTTTTCTTTTACGAAGCGTCACTTGTTTAACTTTATATACACATGACACTGGAGAATGTTGAGATAGAAATATCAGATATATCGTTTCCTCTTCTAAGTTCCATTTCCCTTTAATCTTCATTCTTCATTATCGTGAAGATTAGGCAATCAGTCAGATAAGCCACTGTGCTGAGCTTCTCAAAACCATGAATCCAGGTTAACGTGTTCTGTTCTCGATCTTTCTGTTATTAGGGTTTGATGTTTTTTATACTATTACGGGACGATTCATCCCTTTCTCTATTTTCATATATATGTAGATTATCTTTTGTTTTTCTTGGTTTCGTATCGTGCGTATATGGTATTGTCGTCTTCTAGATCTGTAATGAATAAGAAATTCATGTCAGTGTTAATGGATTTTTTCGGTTCTTTAATGGAATCGCTAAACCGTAAGCGTGTGCTTGAAGGTTATACTATTTTGTAAATTTGCTGTTTAAACTAGTTTTGGTAAGTTCCTGTTTGAATTCTGAGTGACGAATTTATGCTCAAACAATTGATTACTTCTTGGCTAAATTATCTCGAATCTTGTGTTTCGCTATCCTCTTCTGGGTTATCAAATCCCCAAAGACGCAAAACCTAACCAAAGTATTGAAGATATATAATATCATTTTGCCTCAATATTATATAACTACACTTAGATGCTTGATGGAGTTATTGGATTCAATGTTTACTTAACTACAGCATATCTAACACAATATTTTTATATATTTTCAGCTTTGGGATGCGCTTCTAGTTTTTCCAATGTCGAGTCGATCCCGATGCTAAACAGATCGAACTTCTTGAAATGGAAAGAACATTTGTTACTTGTGCTTGCCCTCATGGATCTTGATCTTTCCCTCAGGAAAGAGCGTTCAAGTTCTTCTCAGGAAATCGAGCGGTGGGATCGCTCTAACCGTGTGAGTATGATGATAATGAGAATTCGGATTTCGCAAGAGATCAGGGACGTAGTCCCGGAGAATATTTCAACCGCAAAAGGATTCCTTTCCCGCTTGGAGATCTTTTGTGACAATTTGAAATATTCAAGGGGAAGTCTTCGGAGAATCGAATTTTGGTGACGAGGAATGCGACATGGTAGAGGATAGATTGAGGCAGTAATTGTGGGAGCAATGCGAGTGTTTGATTCAGGATAGTAGCAACAGAAGAAACATTTGCAATTAGTCGTTTTTGAGGTTTTATGAAATGAAAGCTGTTTGTGTCTGTATTTCGAAGTGTTTATTAAGTTATTATTTTTGTGTTTTTTCAGATTACTATTGATATCGATCGGTCTCGTTCCGCTTAGCCTTTAGGATATTTAAATATTCCTTGATGCAATCGTTGCTTTTTAGTTGTTACATATCCATTTGAGATTTTGGTTTTAGTCACGAGTAAGTAATTGCAAGTTCGCTTCGAGTAACTATTCCATCTAAACCGGGGTTCCTCAGGATCATCTTCGTTGCTAAGCTTGCAGCGACATCCAAATCTTCATTAACCATTACCTTATGGGGGACCGGCCTTTTGGTGTTTTTCTCACTGCAAATTCCCCTTCCCATTATTGTTAATGAACATGAAACTAATGTACTTTCTTGGTTATAAAATGTTCATGAACCATTATCATCCGTGTTATATTCCAGTATCTTTCGAATCCTTACCAATACGACCCTAGCTATATATGGCTAATACAACCCAACGTATAGGCCGCATCAGTCTACCAATATTGTCAACAAAGAATTGAACAACTTTACGGATACGGTGATACTATGAGCTTCGCCAACCAGAATGATAAATATGATTAATCGATTCAATGTCCAGTGAAAGCAGTCAGAGTGAGACTTGAGGAGATTAGTGATGATTATGTGTAAAGAATATCTATTGAGTTTTAGATGTGACCTGACCAAAGTAATATATAAGAGATTTAGACCAAACACACACTACTTAGTCCGAACCGAAATTGGGTCTGTCTAGTCTACCAAAAACTAATTTTATTTTATTTTCAGTGTTAAGAATTTGGATATACATTTACAGTTTTTAAACTTTATCCCCAAATTTATTATTTTCAGTGTATTCTAATTCGTTTATATTTATGATTAATATATATCCAGTTCCTATATCCCTTTGACTTTGTGCTATTCTCTCTTGTTAAAACTTCATCTGTATTTTGGATTCTACAAATAAACAATATACATTCTCTTGTAGTAGTTTGTGCTAAAATTCCTAATTTCTCATCAAAACTTGGCATAGTACTTCTTCATCATCACTGTGTTCGAAACCTTTATTGATCTACTAAGCAGGTACGTTCTCTGGTTTGGGATACTTGGTTGATTTAACTTTCAAATTTTCTTGTATCCTTACTCAAGTAGAACTGGAAAATATATGCAGATTTTTCTAATTCTGATCAACATGTGATTTTGTTAGATTTCTTCTTATTGGACTACATATTCTCAAGTCCTACTTAAATAGATTGGAACGTTCTTACGCTGTTGTTCAGTTCATACCTGTGTCCGACTTTCTAATCAATTTTTAGTCTTTGTGACAGTGACATGTCTCAACCTAACGTGAACCCAAACTTCAACACGACATACACAAAGATATACGTGGGAGGTTTGCCTTGGATAACAAGAGAAGAAGGTTTGAGAAGCTTCTTCAAACAGTTTGGTGAAATCATTCATGCTAATGTGGTCTGTAATAGAGAAACAGGGCGATCAGAGGGCTTTGGCTTTGTAAGTATCTTAACAACTTATAATTATACTATTCCGCACTAGCTAAGAACACTGAATCAATGATTTTGAGCAGAGGATAAGCATACATAGATGTTATAATGGGGGAATACGCCTCAATTTTATTTTCTTTCTTTAGGGTTTGTGTTTCCTGTTAAAGAGTATGTTACACAACATGGAAACGTAACGCAATCAAACAATAGGAACCTAACTTTTTTAATTAGAGGGATTTTGTATTAATTATTAGGTCACGTTTAGAGATGCTGAAGCTGCAACGAGAGCCTGTCAGAATCAGTTTCCGGTCATAGACGGACGAGTAGCCAAGTGCAATCTTGCTTATCTTGGTGCTAGGGTTAACAATAATCAAAACGGTTTTTTACTCTCATCACTTCTCTCGAATTTTGTATTCTCTTTGCATCGATACATTTTTTTTAACATAAACTTTTGTTCTTGTAACCGCAGATCGTCAAGTAGCTACCTATATACCCCCCTACTGGTAATTTATCTGTTTATAAACTTGAAAATATCTTGTAGAATTAACTTGTAATTAGTTAAATTTCTTGGTTTTTCATGTCCAGGTACCATCAGAATGCACCGCAGTATTATCCGGTGTATCCATATTACCCCTACCCACCGTTTTGGACACAGTATGGCCCGTACTAGATGAACCAACCAGGTTCATGACCTATGAGCCATATCTCTTGTTGTTGTCTGAGTCAGAGAACTTCTTGTTATATTTTCTAAATTCAAGCTGTTTAATTAGTTTGTAGTTCTATAACATAGCTAAATTATCATTAAAATTTCGATATTTATTGCTGTAGAAAACAAGATTTAATTTTCTACTTCTGTTTTAACTTTCAGTCGAAAACAATATTTAAATTTTCAATCCTTGTTTATTATGTCAGTGACATTGTTGCAATCTCCATTGTTTGATTACTCTTTGTATTTCCTTTGATCATTACTCTTTGCAATATTCTCAATCTACTCGAAACTTTTAAGGAATTAGTGACGGAACAAAGTTTTAATTTTAAAGATGATTTTTTTTTGAATTTTTTTGAACCTAACAATATATAATCCCCACGAACAAAGTGCTTGAAAGTTATAACAAAAAAAAAAAAAAAACAGAAAATCAGTTAATGATTGCTTAGCTGTGAGTTTATTTTCTTATGATATTTTTCCAATAATTTATTTGCATGTTTTTTACAATAATCCCCACGATTATATTTAATTTACAATTATTTCCACGAATTTTGTTATAAACACAATAATGAGATTTTAATTACAGATGTCGTTACCATCTCAAACGTCCTTAATTTTCTTTCCCCCAATTGATACTCTGCATTTTTACTACATTTTGACTACATTTGAGTTCCTTTCATTAATAAGATAAGGCGGTACAAAAACAATTTACAGATCTCGTTAACCTTCAATCAGAAATCCACAATACCGCTAAACTTCGCAATCATGATTCCAGGTTAGTACTCTATGTTTTCTATATGATCTTTGTAATTAGGGTTTACGATTTTTGCTGATTCGAAGCGATTTGTCTATTCCTCACAAAAACATTTTAAACAATGGAGGGTTAATTTCGGATTCGTGCCTCTTTGATCTGTTAATCATGTTCTTCTTCTGAATTTGTGTTGATCTTATGTGAAATGCCTGTCAACTTTATGGTCAATTAATCAGTTGTGTAAGAATCTTTGGGTTCTGTAACGGGAATCAACAAAACCCTAAGCGTGAGCGCAACGATTAGGGTATTTTGTGACTTTGATGTTTTCCGTTTTGTATGGTCACTAGCGATTTTATCTGTAGTTAGATTCCATATATAAGTTGTTGACTGAACTTGGAGAAAACCTTTTTTTCGGGTCTATTAGATTGTGTTTTTTATTCTTCCACTTAGAATTTTCATGTAATAACCTTGGAGACTGCATTATAGAACCCTCAAACCCTAATTTGAAGACTTAGCTGCATTTTTGTCTGAATTTTTTTTTAAGCCATAAGTGAATGTTGGTAGAAAATTAGGATTTTTTTTATCTCAATTTATTTTAGCAAATTGTATACCGAATTTGCTAAATCATATCTTTAATTCCTCAGTTTCAGCGTTGGGATTGCAATCTGCGTTTTCGAATGTCGAGTCGATCCCGATGCTAAACGAGACGAACTTTTCTGGATGGAAAGAACATCTCCTACTTGTGCTTGCCCTCATGGATCTTGATGTTTCGCTCACTGAAGAGCGTCCTGATGCCTCTAAGCACATTGATGAAACCAAGCAATGGGACCGTTCCAACCGCGTGAGCATGATGATGATGAAATTCCGGATCCCGCAAGAACTCAGAGGCGTCGTCCCTGAGGACGTTACAACGGCCAAAGAATATCTAGCCGCGGTCGAGAAATGCTATTCGAAGAACGAGAAGTCGGAGCCGATTATGGTTGGAGACAATTTTTCATCGATGAGGAAAGAAGGAGACGAGGGTATTAGAGAGTATATGTATACGAAGAAGTTGACTGTTGCAGCTGCGTTGAAGAAACTCGGGATGGATATTCCCGATGATGTCTTGGCGAGTGTGATACTCGATTGTCTTCCCTCGGAGTATGATCCTATTAAGAAGAATTGTAGGGCTGCACATAAGAAATGGTCGACTCATGAGCTCATAAGTCAGTGTGTGAATTATGAAGAGTGTTTGAAGCTGAAGAAGAAAAACCAAGCTCTTGCTGCGAGTAAAGTCATGAGTGGTACTAAAAGAAAGAGCTCTGAGGATTGATTCAAAGCGTAGCATAAAAAGAAAAATATGCTTTTAAGAGGCGGTAAGAAGCAACAAGACACCTTTCTTTGATGTTATGTTTGTTTGTTATGTTTTTTTTTCTTCGAACATAAAATAATTTACTTTTCTTTGACTGTATTGGCTTTTATCATACATATGAAGGCAAAGTCATCGTTACAATCATTAGATATTTGGATTAAACCAATAAATGTTTTCGTTTTGTATAACGTTATCAGTAAAACAAGACTTTCTGATACTTACACAGTTACACTAGGTTTTAGATATAAGTTATAACCAACATCTGTTCATAGTACAAGACAAATAATCTAGAGAAACATCTCAACACTAAATCCTTACAATTCATGTGTTTCATAGATAGATTCAAGAACTGGTTTCCACTTCTTGTCGTCGAAAGATCTGAGAAACATTCTCTGACTCATCAAAACTAGCTGCTCCAACGAAACTTGCTTCGCCTCCAACAAGCGATGCAGTTGTTTTCTAGTTATCATCACCTTGATTCTCATTCTTCCTGCCATAGCCTTCTCTTCAGACACCGAATCATCCTCGGGACATACATATCCATTCTTGATCTCTATGTTAGCGAATTGAATCTTGTTACTCTCTAGATGTTTTATGCACAAACATGCATTGGAGAGAGTTATCAAGACTTGCTGCAAGCTTAGTAGTCTCTTCTTCATTTTGGTGTGTATCGTTTTTGGACGCAGATCCTCAGATTTAGTGACAAGCTGTGAGATTCACACCTTCTTATTATACAAACAAAAAGAGGGTTCGTTAGGATACTTTATATTTAAAAGCCTTTCAATCATTAAAAAGCATGGGTTGTGTTTAATATGGAGTGGATGGTGAAAAAGTTAGTGGGAATGTAACAGATTCGGATCAATGAAATTCTTAATGAGCAAAAGAAAATTAGAGATGAAGCCTTCAAGATGTTAACACGTGTGCATCATGGGTCGGTCTTGCACATAAAAACATTAATTTTGGACCGACTTTTTGATCTTAAAACATATGGCTTGTCTAATACTTCGTGGTATATCATGATGAAACCTACTTAATGTATAAAATGATTAATGTTGATCACTAAAAACTAATTGCAAGTTGACCTAGTATTTTGATTTGTTTTGGTTATCTTTTAGAGTTTGAACAAGTTAGTCGGTTTCATAGAAAATTGTATGTTAAAATTTAAATCATCATCCTACTGAATATGATGATGTGGGAAATGAAAAATCTAGAATTCTGAACAGAATCTTGCATAAAAACTGAATAGACAAGTGATGAAACAAATACTTCCCAATACAATAATATCACAGAACTGAAATAGCAAGCAACCTGAAATACCAAAAAGCATCACAAAACGATGAAGCAAGCATATACTTTTACATTAACTAGATCACTAAAAACGATAATCAGAAACCACAACTTGGCATGAGCTAGAGAGTCTTGGGATTGTAAGGAGTTCCCTGAGGAAGAGAGATTCTTCATTCTTTCTTTCAGGAAACAAGAACAGAGTTAGTTTCTTGAGGATTGTTGAGTTCTTCAGAAAGTAACTAACCAATCCCATCTCCGCCTCGTCATCTCCCATAGGCTTCACTATCTCAACATACTCGAGTCTCTGTAGGAAGCAATGAGGTCCAAGTGAAATACTTTCTGGCTGCTCCCCTCGAGATTTACTAAATCCCTGCAACAAAATGAAGAAAAACAAGTTGAGTTATGTAATACACTTTCACCTATTTTCACAATAACGAAAAGCAAGTTTATGGTTTCAGTGAATCAATCCTAACCAAGGAGAGAGATTTCAGATTCGGGCAGCTCTCAAGAAAGACCGGCAACAATTCCCATCTGTAGTCGGTGAAGTCAGCACTCAATGAAGTTATGTTACGTAACAATGGTACTGGTTCACATCTCGAGTAATTATAGAGGACCTGCAAGAAAAGAAAACATGTATTTGAGAGGTGATTATATGAAAAAAACTTAAGAAGCATATATATATGTTACCTCAAGAGTATCCGAAGTGATGTTCATGTCTTTAACACTAGAGATCCCCAAAAGAAAACTTCGGATCATGTTTCTCTTCGGTAGATCATTAGGATCGAACCTCTTTTCAGAAGACAGGTTAAACGCAATACACATATCCACCTTAACAAGTGAACCAAGATTGTTCACTATGAAACTATCAGTTTCTTGATCAAAAAGCTCTAGCTTCCCAAGCTTGGGAGCATCAACTACAACTACAAGCTCTTCCTCAACAAAATCGAGACAGTGTCCCACATGAGTGAAGCTCAACAGAGACTGAGAGCACACACGCAAGACTTTCACATTGTCGAGAGGACTCCTCCTCACAGTTAAGCTCTCTAGAACTGGGGATCCCAAGATGAGCATTTCGAAAGCCCAGTCGCTGACGAACCTAACACCATCCAGTTTCATGACTTTGAGACAAGATAAAGAAACAGACTTGGGATTTGCCAAGCTCACGCAAGAGAGCTTTAAAGATACTAAGCTCTCGCAATTGTAAACTGTCGAAGGTATCTCTGCTTCTTTTTCCACTTCCCCTGTGCTGTCTGTGAAAAAGAGATGTTGAAGTTTCCGCTTCACTACAGCGTTGATCCACCGAGCGACAGCATCGCCATGAAAGTAATCCCATTCCCATCTGTACTTTGTATTTAAAGTTTTGTCTTTTAGCTTGAATTTTTGCAGCTGCGATTCTCTGTTGAAACCCAGAAAACTATCGACGAAACCCACATAAGCCTCGTACTCAGGGAAATCACCAGGCTCCAGGCTCAAACCAGGTACATGTCTCCACAGATTTCTCCATCTCTTGGACAAGACCGAGCTCTTTACCACATCTTTTGTCGGAATGTTCAAGAGAACATGACATAGCAAGTTATCTGGTAAATCGCTCAGCCTATCTACACCATCACGCACACGTTTCCCTGCTTCTTCATCCATTTACTCTGCCTGAAAAACCTTGATTTGACCAATAAAATCACGAAAGAGAAGATCTGTTTTTTGACTTCAGGCGAGAGTGTGAGAGAGAGAGAGAGATTACCAATTGAATGGCTCCTGAAGAACTGTAAAAGAGTTGATAAGCAAATCGCGTTGATTTTTCCGGCCAAAGAATCTCCTTTTGGCCTCAACTTCAGTGGCTCATTTGTTTCAGATTTTCTCTCGGTGGAAAAGTGAAAAGGCCTAAATTTTTGGTCGGGCAAGTTTCTTCCGCGATGTTTTACATTTTAATCCCTATACTTACAGTTTCCTTCCTCTCGCGCCCTAAAGTTTTTCCTACCATTCTTAATCCATGATGGACTGATACTAATACGGATACTGATGATGTGATATTTTGGGCCAATGAGGTTATCCTGATGAAAAAATAAATTATCGGTAACCATTAATAATTAAAAAAAAGTAACTATTTATAATGGAAAGATACAATCATCTATTATATTAAAAAAAAATCCATTTTAGAAGAATAATCTTTATTTGATGTGTTATTTACCTAATATACCATTGGACTTTTATTAGTTATATAAAAGTTTATTAAATCTACTAGGGATGTTTTCGCACTACGTGCCTATTGTTTTTATATAGATATTTGATTATTATTTAAGTTAACTTATTTTAATTTCAAATTAATATTTTAAATCTAATATTTGATTTTAATATTGTTTTGATATGGTTATATATCGAAAGTTTTTTAACGTAATCAAAAAATGTATTATGGTTTAATTTAAGAATTTACCTACTTGTTATATGTGAAAATTAATTGTTAATCTAAAACTTAAATATTTGTATATAAACTCACTATTATTCACTAATTTTCAAAATATAATTTAAATTATTTTTGTTTTAACTAAATTTGATTATTATTGTTCCAATTAATTTGGATTTTTTTCATTTCAATTGTGTTGGTTTAGTATTTTTATTGCATTAGCAGTCTCAAATATAAAATAAAACTCAATATTTCAAACTCTTACAAATCTGTAAAATAACTATTGTTAATATAAATAAAAACAACATTTACATAGTATATAAAATCACAATCATATTGATAAACTGTAATTTTGACTTGGTCTCTCAAGCATATGTTAATTATAGAAATGTAGATGAATATGACAAGTAATACATATACAAATACAATTTCATTCTAACTCATTCTGTTAAATAAACTATGTCGAGTTTCTCAAAACTCAAAACTTAAAAGATGTAAACGGTTGATTTGCATTTGACTTGTAATTTAACTTATATATTTTTCTTAAACTACACATATATTTTGATGAGCCTTTATAATTAAACTAATAATATATATTATATTATTTGTAAATGATTTTCTTAACCCAATAAAAAAAACCATATTAGTTTTCCTTACAAGCTAGGTTTATAAGGAATTTATTTTTTTGTTGATGTGAATGGTTAAAGATATTTTTAGACATTTTCTTTTACATAAAAATGTATATGTTATTTTTTCAAAAATGCATTATGCTTTAATTTAAGAATTTATTAACTTTATATATATGAAAATTAACTATTAATCTAAAACTTAATATTTGTATATAAACTCGTTGTTGTTCACTAACTTTCAAAATTTTATTAAAACTATTTTTTTAATTAAATTTCATATATAATTGAATCCAACAACTATAAGTTTTCGTTTTATTTAATTTAAAGTAATTTGTAATTTTTTTTTAAAAAAAGAAAACAACATAGTAAACATATGAGTACAACTGAAGCATCTGGTTACTGTTCCAATTAATATAGATTTTTTTTCTTTCAATTGTGTTAGTGTAATGTTTTTATTTCATTAGCAGTCTCCAATACAAAACAATAATCAATGTTCTAAACTCTTACAAATACATAAAATAACTATTTTTATATCAATAAAAGCAACATTTGCATAGTAAGTATACAAAATCACAATCATATTGATAAATTGTAATTTTTATTTGGTTCCTGAAGTATATGTAAACTATAGAAATGTAGATGAATAA